GGCGGTATCGGGGTGTTTGGGACCAAGTATCTCCTCTCTCAATGCAAGAGATTTTTTGTGATAATCAAGTGACTCTTTATACTCACCCATGTCCTGCAGTACAGCACCGATATTGTCGTAGGAGAGGGCGGTATCGGGGTGTTTGGGACCAAGTATCTCCTCTCTCAATGCAAGACATTTTTTGTGATAATCAAGTGACTCTTTATACTCACCCATGTCCTGCAGTACAGTACCGATATTGTCGTAGGAGAGGGCGGTATCGGGGTGTTTGGGACCAAGTATCTCCTCTCTCAATGCAAGACATTTTTTGTGATAATGTAGAGCATCTTGGTGGAGAAAAATGCTGCAAAAAATGTTTGCTATCATTGCTATGTTGTCTACACGTTCCAGTTTTTTAGATGCATCTTGGGTTTTGAACCTTTTAATATATAAAGCAGCTGTTTGTTTTACATGTGGTAACATCACGGATAAAATATTTGTTTCTCTAGCACCAATATCTTTCATTTTTAATCTTTTCAGAGCTTTTATAAAATAACTGCAATAGGCAGCTTGAATTTCAAAAATATAATTGCCATATTCCCGGGCATTGTATTCTGCATATTCCCTTAGTAAAGGGTGGATATCATAGGTGTTACCATCGGTACTAATGAGCGATTTGTTGGCAAGAATATCAAGGATATGTTCGCATTTATTTTGATCTAATCTTACAATAGCAGAGACCTCTTCCAGATTAAAAGCAACGGGGAATATATGAAGTGCAACAAACACCTTTCTCGACTCCGGTTTTAATGTTTCATAAGAAATATCAAAGCAAGTTTTGATTTCTTTTGGCATGCTAGGAATGGAAAGAGTTGATAGCATCTTCTGAGTTTTAATTTTCTGCAATACTGCTTCTGTTTGTTTTCTGTCAAGCAGTCCAGCTAGCAATTTTAATGCAAGAGGGTTATAGCCACACATTTCTGCCATTTCATCTAAGTTCGCTAACTCGCTGTCCGTGGGACTGGTTGATTTTCTTTCCCATAGGACGTCACGCGCGGAGCTTTTATCAAGTTTATCAATGTCTAACACAACTATGTTATGTGATGTGAAATCAAATATTTCACGACTGGCGCACAACAAACTGATATGTTTTGTTGAATCCATTACATCTTTCAAAAATTCACTAATCTCCTTCCTATTTGAACTTAAAAAAGACTCGTCATTATCTAGGATAAAAAGGGTGTCAGTAGTCAAACTAGACAAAGTCTGTTTGAATATGTTTTGGTAATCAGAGTATAAGTCTTTCAAATGACGTGTTGGGTGATAATGTTGGACCAGCGATAACTTGACAGAGTTAAGATCTGTCACTTGTCTCATATCAATGTACAGCACATTTTGCATGATTTGTCCGACCTTAACTGCTATGCTGGTCTTACCGATACCCCCCATCCCGGTCAGGAGAACGAGTGGAACTTTATCTCTGATATGTTGGAGTATTGTGGTGACGATGTCATCACGTCCCTTCAGCTCTGTGTTTGTTCTAGGTAACATCGTGGAGATCAGCTGACAAGGGGTTTCTGTAAAGGTTTCTGAACATTAAAATCTAAAAATAGGAAACTGTTAACACATTTTTCACCTTGTGGTGGTCATATTTAACACTTTTATATCTGAAAATATACAGCAGGAGTGTCGGAATGTTAACATAAGAATGTTATAAGAATATGTAATTATTATCTCTGCCATTGGTTTTGCCTGTGCTTTTATAAATGTGACTCAACGGTGTGTGTGTGTGTGTTTGTGTGTGTGCGTTTGTGGTGTGTTTTTATTAGCTCTGGTTGTATTGATGTGAAATGTTGAATATTTTGCAGAAATCTACCTGAAGCGTCCAACGGCTGACTCAGCAAATTGTTGTAGTCCTCACTAGCATACAATGTCGAAAGAGACAGCAGAATATCTTTCAGATTATCGAACTGGGTCTTGAAATCTGCGTCTGAGAGACCTCCTGTTCCGTGTGCGTGCTTATTGCGGTATCCCTTCACCCTGCCGATGTTGGCCTCTGTGGATGTGTCCGTGGCAGGAGGTTTGTCCCATTTTGCATGAGGATTCAAGTTTGTGATATTTCTTAATAAGATTACAGTCAGGGTTATATCCAAGTCGTGCAATGTCACAGGAGGGGCAGGGTTCCCAGGGGGATAGAGAGTATCCATTTGATCTTGATTAAAAATTTTCCTTCCCTTCACTCCCTTCTTCAAAAGGAGTAATGTATGTTTCACACTTTTGTCATTTAGGACATCAGATATCGCGCCATTACTTGATGGTCCATACAGTCCTGGATATCGTGCTTGTAATTGGTTACTGAGAACATCTTGCAGTACTAGTTTTCCACGATCCAGTAGCAGTTGTATGCGGAAATGGTTTTCTTTCTCCTTTCTTGGAATTTCCCCACTGGCCATTTCTGCAAAAAGTTGAAAGAGGCGTTTTAGGGTTCATCAAGATATTTCCATTTCTCGTAATTATTTAAAGGGAAATAAATACTATGTGCAATAATATTTGTCAGTAATGCAGAGATATAATTGTTTTGGTTTTTGATCTAACTGTAAGAAGTGTATTTGTTAAGTTATGCTTCATAAAAGTCCTAAGTGCTTGGTACAAGTTTTCAATGTGTCGTGTGTTATGGGATATAAATGTTTATCATTTTTCTTATTTTAATAGTCTTATACTATTTTTAATAAATATAAAAAGGGATTATTACAAATTAAGCATTAACCTTAAAAGACCTTAAAAGACTTTGCATATGTGTGTATGTGTATGTGTGTTTGTGTGTGTGTGTGTGTGTGTGTGTGTGTAGGCCTAATTGATTTCTGTAATTGAACAGTGCGTCTTTAGCACCGTCAATTTCCCCCAACGCGTTTTAGTCCTGCATTACATAGTGTGGCTGTTTAAACTTAAATACCTTTTTTTCTGTATCATAATTTTTTTCATTATTTTAGTAGCATCACATGCCATATATATAATATTCTTTACGTCTCAGATATGACCAGGGATATGTGTATTTGTGTGTGTGTGTGTGTGTGTGTTCTAAATTGAAAACCCATTGCATGTTTTCTGTATGAGAATTAGGATGTATTCCCAGAGATTTAGATCGATCCAGGGATTAAAATTTAGATCGACCTAACTCCCTGGGAGTTCACGCTAAATTGCAGTTAGCCGAGCGCGTACCATAGTTAATTACCCCCTTACGGCTTTCAGTAGGCGGGACAGACGCTTAAGCCGGCTTAGCTGACAGTAATCTAGTGAGACTCCCCACAGGGATAGATCGATCTAAAATCTATGGAAATGGGGTCTTAGTGTGTTTTTGTTGCCTTATCGCTGTGCTGTAAATACTGTGGTATAATGCAAGCACGACAATACCTGAACGTAAACTTATTGATCTTATAGCTGTTTGTCAGTGCGCTTATAGATACACATACAGTAGCAGCAGCGGGCAACGTTTATCAAATAAAAGCGAAAGGTTTTACGTTTTAAATAAGACGTATGATTACAAATCTAGAAAAACAACCTACACTAAATCTTCAAGTGGCTTTAAGTCATTGTATATGATAATAGCTAGCCTATATTATGAACATAAAGCATGTATATTGAACTTACCGTAAGTTGTGCACAGCGGCTTACTTCTTAACCTAACGGCGTTTTCTGGCAAAGAGTTGTACTGGACTATGTTTGTGTATTTATGTAGGCCTTTCATTAAGATCAAGTTGAGATAACAATAAACAAAGTGTTTGGCATAGATGAATTGTTCAGCACTGTTAATCAGCCACGGTGAGCGTATTTTTGTGCACTTTCTCTGATATCCACACGCAGTATGAAATTGACGATGACGTTATCTGGGAATCTTTGAAAGGAAACTTTTTTAGTAACTTGCAAGGTAAAACTCTCGAGATTCGGAAAAACTAATAATTTTCAATCCTATGGAATGGATTTGGTTTATTAAAGAGGATTAAAGTGACCTCATTTTTATATAATAACCAAAATAAATGTTGTTTGCAATACACAATAGCCTAAATATATCTTGACCTCAATAAGGTCATGGTGTGTTCAAGGTATTCGTAGGTTTAACGTTTTAAGCAAGTGGTGTGGTTTCAAATCTAGAAAAACAACCTACGCTATATCTCCAAGTCTCTTTAAGTCTCTATAATAATTAACTTGCCTATATCATGAACATATAGCATGTATATTGAACTTACCTTAAGTTGAATTAGATCTGAAATATAGGCCTCAATGTGCCGAGCGGCTTACTAAGTACTTCTTTACCTAACGGCGTTTTCTGGCAGAGTTGAACTATGTTTTTCTATATCTCTAAGATCAAATTGAGATAAGAATATACACAGTCTTTGACATCAATGAATTGTCCAACACTTAATCTGCCACAGCAAGCGAATTTATGTGCACTCTCTCTGATATCCACACGCAGTGTGAAAGGGAGGATGACGTCATCTGGGAATTTTTGAGGGGGAAACTTTTTCAGTCACTTGAAAGGCAAAACTCTCGAGATTTGGAAAAAACTAATAATTTTCAAACCTATTAAATGGATTTACTTGTTTAAAGAGATTTAAGTGACCTCCTTTTTATATAATAACCAAAATAAACGTTGTTTGCAATACACAATAGCCTAACTATAACTTGACCTCAATAAGGTCATGGTGTGTTCAAGGTCATCGTATTCTCGTCAACAAATGACATCCCTTCTCATGTCAGCACAGTACAGCGTTTCTCCTACATTGTCGTTCAGTATAATGTCACAGGACATTCGGACCTGACATTACCCCTTTATTTTTTTGCTCTGTGCTGGACTGCAGTAGTTAACAGAAACCTGACATAAATCAAGGAGAAGTTATTGTCAATGGACTGCCATTTGTTTACTATTACGGTCCAACAGCATATGACGTGCGTTGTAAAGCCCCCGTCACACTTATTCAGAATCAGCAGGAATCAAGCAGAATGAGCCTTAATGAAAATTTTCCAAAATTCGCACCACATGTTTTGCTCTTTCCACTGGAATGGTAACTGATCAGAATGTTTCAAATGTTGCCAGAATGCCGTGAGAATATTTAAAGTGCAGTCATAGAGAGTTAGAATGCTATTCAAATGCCATTCAATAATGTTCAACTTGGAATGCACTTCGAAATTTTTTAACTTTCGGGCCGACCACAAGAATGGGTAAAAACATTAGATGCCCGTCAATGTAACTTGAAAAATTCTGATCGCCTTCCGGAAGACGCAGAGGACAACCTCCGTCCACCCCTGATACACAACTTAAGCCACTACCTGCCGTCTGGCTGGACCGATAATTTCTGCGGCGACAGAACGTTCGTCCTGAGAAACCAGGGGCGGATTTAGGGGGTCTTCTGGGTCTTCCGGAAGACGGTCAGATTTTCAAGTTTACATTGACGGGTATCTAATTATTTCTGTCGGAAGACGGTCAAAAAATGGAGGATGGATCAACAAAGATAATTTGGAAGACTGTCAGAAAATAACTCTGGATCCGCCCCTGGAAACTGCCATGATATAACAAGCAATATCCATGCAATAGTGGAATATCTAACGAATCTTCCAGATAAATTCCAGTCCTCACCTTTTAATAAAGTCCCCGTCACACTTATTCGGAATCAGCAGAAATCAAGCAGAACCAGCCGGAATGACTTAATTTAAAAATTAGTACTACATTCGGGAAGAAATTTCAAATTGACCTAAATTCTTGTAAGAATGCCGTTGGAATACTCGGAATGCGCTTGAATGATTCGTGCACATTGCAGCTGTATAAGCTCTCAAATGCAACTCGAATGTAGTTGGAAAACTAGGAATATCAATAATGCTGTCAGAATGCTGTCAGAATATTTAGATAACACTTCGAATGCCGTACGTGTGTAGTTCGATTGCTGGCTGAAATAGGATCGAGATGCATTCGAGTTGCATTCCGGCTCATTCAAGCAGGATTTGAAGTGACTTGCCATTTCGGTTCTCCCTCGAATGTGATTCGAATCTTTAGAATGCTGTCGGAATGCCGTGATAATACTTAGAATGCAGTCTAGTGCAGTTAGAATACTATTCAAATGCCATTCGATAATTTTCCACAGATAAATTCCAGTCCTCACCTTTTAATAAAGTCCCCGTCACACTTATTCGGAATCAGCAGAAATCAAGCAGAACCAGCCGGAATGACTTAATTTAAAAATTAGTACTACATTCGGGAAGAAATTTCAAATTGAAATTCTTGTAAGAATGCCGTTGGAATACTCGGAATGCGCTTGAATGATTCGTGCACATTGCAGCTGTATAAGCTCTCAAATGCAACTCGAATGTAGTTGGAAAACTAGGAATATCAATAATGCTGTCAGAATGCTGTCAGAATATTTAGATAACACTTCGAATGTCGTACGTGTGTAGTTCGATTGCTGGCTGAAATAGGATCGAGATGCATTCGAGTTGCATTCCGGCTCATTCAAGCAGGATTTGAAGTGACTTGCCATTTCGGTTCTCCCTCGAATGTGATTCGAATCTTTAGAATGCTGTCGGAATGCCGTGATAATACTTAGAATGCAGTCTAGTGCAGTTAGAATACTATTCAAATGCCATTCGATAATTTTCCACTTGGAATGCACTTCGAAAGTTTTTAACATGAGCAAAACATTCGGGCCGGCCACAAGAATGGGTAAAAATATTTGGAATGCACTCGGAATTTCATAATGCTCTTCGAATATCCAGGAACGCACAAAGAATTGTCTTTCGGGCGGCATTCTTGCTCATTCCGCCTCTAGTGTGACGGGGGTACATGTATAAACGGACGGCACATATACCCGGTACATCAAGGGACCCAAGTAACAAGACTTGCCTGTCACCCGAACGACAGCGATAGACCTGCTTTAGTTTCAGGTTTTGCATTTCTTTTTTTCGATGTGATACGTATCATTAACTATAATGTTTCGTGAATATCTAGATTGTTCGGTTAGGAAGATATATAGGCCTATATATGTACCCCCCCCCCCTCCTCCTGCCCATACTTATCGAATCTAAGGTTGGAAAGTCGGTTGTCTGGCTCGGGAGAAATGTCACTATCTCCACATCTGGTTTCTATCAATTTTTCTTCAGAGCTTGGGACAAACATATGGCTCCTCAGGTTGGGAAATCAGGAGAGGGGGAGGGGGGGGGGGTAAAAACATTCATGACAGGCACGTGTCTTCTCAATATGGAAACTTATAATTTTGGTAATTTCCTTTTAAACACTTACAAACATTATAATTCTCTTTTTCGTTTTAATGTTATTTTACACACATTTCTGTAATTATCGCCTGAATTTAAATACAAATGCGAAATGCCACACTTTGATTTCCTAGAATAATGAGAGAGAGAGAGAGAGAGAGAGAGAGAGATGCGGAGAGAGAGAGGGGAGTTTAAGGGCCTTTTTACATGAAACTTATTATATATTCGGACTACACTCACGTCGGGCTCTCATTAGTGTCCATGTGTGTCTGCAGAAATTTTCCGGGGGGGGGGGGGTGACGCCCATGTAAGTGTCACTATTCTACATCCCCTTACCCTGTGATGGTCCCCATGAAGGAATACTTTTTCAAATAAATAGATTTTTCATCATTTTCGCCACATCAAGATCATAAGCGACATAAAAGATTCCACTGTTGTCGGGTTTCTGCAGCTGCTGGTATTTTATCTTTTATGTCAAACAAAGTACTAGAACCATATGCCACCTTGCATGTGCAGGTTATATATAGCCACAAATGTACACGAAGATACGGCCAATAGGATACGCAAGAACAATTTGGCGAGAGTTTGCACAGAGAAATGTCCTAACTCTGATATTGTCAGAGAGGGCGCCGTCAGTTAAAATCTCTTAAGAGATTTTAAAAAACCAAGCTCTTAGGAAAAAAACTAAACTAACTTTGAAATATATATAATATTTTAAAAAAGAAAAAAAAAGCGTGTGCAAGGTAATGTAAAAAGCAACGCTGTCAAATATTGGATAAAACTAAAGATAAGTTTATTTTACATCTCTTGGACTGTCATTGGCTATGTCATACATTTCTCCAAGTGAATATTTTCATATCGATATACATATTAATTGTATAAATTTTACGTATTATTCTCAGTGTCTTTAATAATGTTAATGTAATACACACACTGTTACCATGGATCCCAAATGGATGCTGTAAATCAACCAATGAGATATGTAGTCACATCTGAATTTTCCCAATATGCAACACTAATTGCCCTGGAAGTTAGTAACGCTTCCACTAATTGGTTGAGCTACTGTATTAACAACTAATCAAATAAGCAAGCACTTGAACACTTAAGACAACCGTTTTCCCCAACTTTCATCTGGAAATAAAGCTACGGCACGTTTTGATTATGCTAGATAACTTATACGACAAACAAGTAACATGTACATGGTTTTCTTTAAGAAAACTTTTCAATCAACAGACCAGAAATGTCAAAATTTCATCGAAATTAATAATAGAGAAGAATAATCCAAAGCCTTATTTTCTATTACCTACAGTTTCCCCATTAGTTGTCCAATTCCCACAATACTGGTAGAATAATATCTAACTGGCTGTTATTTTACCGAAGTAATTCAAGTGTGTTGTCAAAACCAAAAATACATTCTAGCAAGGTTTCCATGGCATGACTGGACCTTTCACATTGCAATACAGAAGAGCCTTTTCTTAGTAAAGCAGCATTTATTTAGTCAAAACAATAGCTTTCACCTTGTGACTTACACATATCCGGCACATCAAATATTACCTCTATATTGGCAAACTAGCATAAGAGCTGGCACGTGTAATGAGAAGTGCCACAATGAAATAAGAGTCCAACTGGTATTCAAAATGGCAGCAGTACTGGTTTACCTTGAACACATTTCATCAAACAGAATCCATCCACATCAAATATTAAATTGACAATATGAACCAATGGGGTACTTGTAGCGTGTATGACAATCTTATATTTCTTAATTCACCTTCTAATCTCAAGCTATGAGGGAAATGAATCTTCACGAACAGGTTTCTTTACCAGGTGACACAACACAATGTTGACAAGACTGGAACTGTTCATTGTCACAGCTCACACACGAAACAGCAACTTTCATAAATCACTTGAAGGAAATAATAAGAAAACATTGGTGTGCTATTCATTAAAAAGGCAGAAAAAATGAATAAGCAAATACAAAATAATAAAGACTTAGTTCCTCTTAACATCAATTCTTACAGAAATACTTCAAAAACCTTACTCTGAAGCCTACCATAACTTATCTTGTTTACATCTACCAGACTACTTTCTTTTTCCTTGAGATGAACCTTTTAATACCATGTAAAACTGCCTAGCAACTGTACAATGGTTTCTATGGCGATTAATCCAGTTGCTATGGAAATTCAATTCAATCTCCTATGTACATTTTCTTTCATCAGTTATTTATAAGATACAAGACTATGTTCTCTATCAAATCTATATTCCCTGCCCCACGTAAAGCAAGCTATCTAATTCGCCTTTCTCTCTCCTTACTTGTGGAATCATATAACACAGAAAACTTTACAATTGGGTCTACAAGAGCCATAAGATTAGTTAACTTGATACTTAATACAGTTATGATAAAACTGTACACTTCATATTACCATACACAACTGTTTAGTCTTAAATTATTGGGAAGAATAAGCTATCACTTTTCATCCTGGAAGAAATTATTTCTGTACCCTCTTCTGCTATTGGATCATACATGTAGCTTGTCCTCTACCTTTGCCACTACAATTGTATATTCTACAGCGCGCAGCTATTCACCACAATTTCCTCTTCCCATGATTCCACAGTACGCAAATTATCATGTCCACCCTGATTGGCCATAAAATTTTCATTAAATTCTTTACACCTTTACACCCCTTCTCAAGCGTGCTCTTTATTTATCACTGTCCAGTGCTTCTCAATCTGTCCTTTCTTCCCTTCATCCTTCCCTCCATCCTGATGACTACATAATGGCTTTAAAAGTGTCTAATGCATCGCTCTCCAATCTCCGCATCATAACTTTTCTTTTGATGGCACCCAGATCATGGGCCCCGACTGGTCGCGAATGACCTCCTTGACCTTTGCATAGATGTCATCTGGCGTGTCCCCGCTGACCACAGCTGAAAACAACATGGGGGAGATTCAAGTGAAACTTTACATCAATATTCTAAAGAAGCATGGGTATAACAGCACCATCAGACAATACCTTTTTTTGCTTTGGCTGGGACATTTTCTTGGACATGCATATTCATCTTAAAGATAATGCCAAGGTTAGCACAAAAATTATTTTAAGATAAAAACTATTCCTACAATGCTCTGAGACAAAACAACATAATCAATGAAAAATCTGAGGTTTGAAAATTATTCCCAGTTTTTTCAATTCCGTTACTTCTGTAATAAACATTTCTTTAATTACTTCATTTTGTTTTAAATTTACCTGTGATTTTTTCCCCCAAACTCTTGCTCTAAACTCAACTTACCTGTGAAGTACTCTCCAAACTCTTGCTCTAATCTCAATGCTTTTTCAAAACTTTTCTTGGCCTGCTCTTCTGTCATTCTCTTGTTCCACTCCCTGCAAAAAATTAATCATTATCTCACAAATGTGATTACTTCTACATTCTAACAACCACACAAACACTCACATTCATAGTCAACACTGCCAGTATTTATATTACAGATTTTGCATTACTTGGTATAGTAAACAATAGAATAAAACTACTTCCATTATTTACATTATACATTGTTCAGTTCTTGGTTTTTAATTAATAAAGATGGCTATTGGGTAGAGTAGACCTATTGTCAGTACTTACATTATAGATTCTGCACTTCTTGGTTTAATAAAGATGGCTATAGGGTAGAGTTGAGCAACCTGAAGTCTCTTAATAGCATTTCCACTGACATCTAATATACAATGCTTGCCCTGAAATCAGGAATTAATTTGGTTACTTCAGTCTGGATACAATGACAGATGTCATATCACTCCTCTTTTGCCCCCCCCCCAAAAAAAAAAAAAAAAAGAAAAAAAAAATCACCAGTATACACACTAACAAGACAATGAAAACTGCAAAACTGAAACCAAAGAAATATATTTTTAATGGATCTAAAATCATGACTCTGAAACAAAAATAATTTTTCCCACTGAAAAGATTGCTTTATTATCCTAATTCATCGTGGGCAAAACTACCTTTTCTGCGACCTCCCTGACTGAGGCAACACTGGTGCCGTACAGATGCTCGTTGTACTGCCCCGCTTCGATGAACAGGTGGTCCTGAATGTCCTTCTCCATCTGCTCTCGAGAGTCCACGAAGTGGTAGTCACGCCCGTCCACCTCGTAGTCTCTGCGCGGACGTGTCGTGTCTGCAAACGATGACAGTCATCAGTAGCTGTTGAACAGTTGGCTGCAAGTTTGACTATGCCGTTTTGCTTCACGTTTTATTTTGTTGTATTATGTTGTATTAAGTAGTATTGTGATGATGTATTTGTTTGTGTATAATTTGCTTGTGTTCTCTTTTGTAATACAATGTTACTTTATAATGCAGTGGTATAATGGCAAATGCTGCATGATGTTAAAAGCTATGTTGTATTAGTTGCACATTAATTAAACTATGCTGTCTTACCTTAAATCAAATGTTGTAGGGCACTGATTTTTTTCACTATGTTGTTTTCCTCTGTATGAAGTTGTCCACTCTTATATTCTGAACAATGTTGAAAATGTTGCACCTTCTATTATATTGTACTCCGTTGTATAATGTAGTACGTGTTGATTGCTGTATATACTATGGTATTCTGATGTATGTTTTAAACTACTGAGTGTTATATATGCTATAGTATTCCACTGACAGTTGACTTACGAGGTACACAGCTGCCAAACTTGTCCGGGTACTCTGATATCAGGTCGTCATTAATTCTGTCCTTCAGCGGGCCCAGTAAAATGATAGGGCGTGTCACCTTCACTGGAAGACGGAATTCACGCAGACATTATTTAGTTGTCAGTAGATTATGCTAGCAATCTTTACAGTGCAATGTGCCTGCTTGGGCATATCATTTCTTTAAGCTATATCATACCAACTAAACCAAGAATTTGTCGCAAAAAATGAAATATCTAACATTTACTTAAGACAACTCACTTTCTTGCTGCAATATTGGTTTATACAATGTGTCCAGTGTGACAGTGTCTGTAAAAATGCATTAGGTGTGACAGTATCTGTAAGAATGTGTTAGGTGTGACAGTGTCTTTAAAAATGTGTTAGGTGTGACAGTATTTGTAAGAATGTGTTAGGTGTGACAGTGTCTTTAAAAATGTGTTAGGTGTGACAGTATTTGTAAGAATGCATTAGGTGTGACAGTATTTGTAAGAATGTGCTAGGTGTGACAAGGTTGTAGTGAACCAGCTATTTACTCACATTCTTGCTGTATCACTGGTTCATAGGTGAGCACTGGTTCATCCCCTCCTGTAACAACAGAAATGGCGGCATTACTTCATTGTCAACTTTCTCTCACAAAGAACAAAAGAGGTTAATAGGTGAAATTATTAAAAGAAATTAAAACATAATGTGAAAATTTACTCATGTTTTATAAACAGTGAAACAGTTTAATACATGTAATGAAATTAAGAACATTTTTTTTGACAATGAAGTGGATTACACTTAGTGTATTCATCTCATAAGTAAATGCTAAGAATAAATACGTTTACTGCAATCCTCATAGTGCATTTCCTCAAATCAAATTATATCTTTGAACCAAAAAATCAATTTTATAATTACATATTGTTTGAACATCAACTCTTATTACAATCACTCTATTGCTGTCATATATCATTAAAAAAAAAAAAAAAAAAAAAAAAAAAAAAAAAAAAAAAAAAAAAAAGGAGAAAGGTATCACAGCCAGTTTGTCCAGCTCTCATCTTTTACATAATTCATGTGGTACTGAGAAAAGAAAAAGAAAACAAATACTCTTTACAAAATCTTAACCTGAAACTTTCAGGTCCTGAAAAGCCCAGAGGAGCAGCTTGGAGATTACAGGGTGGAATGCAAGTTATTTTAAGTATCACTTAGGAGATTTTTGTCAAATGAAAAGTCTATACATCCTGCATAATTCTGTTTGGAAATCGCCTGAGTAGGAGTATCACAAATTGAATGTGAGGAAATATAAACTTTTATTAACTTTTTTCTTTCTTTTTAATGAAACCACAGAAAGCCCCTTTATGCCCAAAATGTTGTTACACCAGACCATATGATACTTGTCCTTGTAACATGCATATACAACTGCAATTTTGACTTTACTTACTGAAAAACCCTGAATAATATAATAAATATCCTATTTCAGATGTGTTTAAAATATGATGCTTAGTCCCCAAACCCATGATACAGATGTTAATACTGAAGCTAGACTACAGTATTTATTCTACACTGAACAGTTAATCCATGCTACAGTAATTGATATTTTATATGGGCAGAGTTTGTGTAATACAGATCTAGGTCAAACCAAATACTGGAAATGTCTATTTGAAAACAGCTATGTAAAATAAAAGTCAAGATACTACATATTACATGCTTCACCTCTAATAACCTTTGATAAGTCTGGCCAGAATAAATGTTGGAGAAAAGACAGTATAACCCTGCTAGTTAAACATCTAATTATATTTTCTACAGCCCCCCCCCCCCCAAATAAATAAATAAATAAATAAATAAATAAATAAATAAATAAATAAATAAATAAATAATTTCTCCATCAAGTATTAACAAAAGAATAACCCCAGGCAGGTTGTGTATATACCAATTGTAAATGTATATAATTTATGCCCAGATTAACACCCAGCTATACATATACAGTATATAATATTTAGCCAGATCAACACCCAGCTATACATATACAGTATATAATATTTAGCCAGATCAACACCCAGCTATACATATACAGTATATAATATTTAGCCAGATCAACACCCAGCTATACATATACAGTATATAATACTTAGCCAGATTAACACCAGCTTTACTTATATAGAGAGCTGAAATGACAGGAATTTACTTTTATTACACGTGCAATTACAAGAAAGGGGGGTGTTCCGTGTATGCATGTGTGCTACATATCTGTCAGCATCCACATACACCTTTGTATATGATTGCATATGTGGTACTTTACCAACCACTTGTGTATTTGTGTATTAGGCTCATTGGTGTTCATTTATTTGTATGGTATCACCATTTCCTTAAAGGGCATAAAAGCCAGTCCCTGTCATTTTCAGCTTCCTATACCACTTGCCAACCCCTCATCCACTGAAGCAGCCATTGGGAGCCATTGCTTAAGGAAATACTTATCTAACAACATGGTGGAAACAAAGCACAAATTCTGCACTGCTCTACATCCAATATTATAATTCAAAGCTAATTTTACCTGTATAATGGACATCAACATTACAGCAGTAAATTTTACCTGACAATGTGTAGTTTTTACAAAATGAGTTATTTCCACCATGTTGAAGACATTGTTGAGAGGTAAAGGAATAGCCTATAGGTGAGATATTGGTCAGCATACAACCCAATTTCCTTTTAGATTTATCAGTTTGTGTGTCAAATATTTCCCTAAATGTTGACTAAAATATTTTCGAATTCATTTTGGCACAAAAAAAAAAAAAAATCAAAATAGCTTCTTGTAAATCAGTGCCACCCATGGATAAACTGAAGGTTGGGTGTATGCTGCCCTCTAGAGTGCATTTAGGGGACTAATTCTACATGTTCTATAGGTTTACTTACTGTTGGAATCATTATCACCCTCCGTTTCTACAGAAACAAATTCAAACATGGTCACGTTAAACTGTACTGACATATAGGGTTTGTGGCAAACAAATGACATACAGCAACAGTGACAATATCATCCATAAGGACAACATTGGTACAAACTATGACAATCTTTGGTTTTCCTTGTCATCCTTATTTTTGAAACACTCCCGTGTCATTTGGATATAGATTTTATACCAATCTTCAAAGCATTTAAATGTTGCATATTGAAAGAAGCAACCTTTTTGATTACAACATTTCATTCAAGACTGTTCTCTTGACAAATACATTAAGCACAGTACAGGAGCTCTGTCTGTGTAAACCAACCAAGGAGCACAGAGTGAAATACTGGAACAATACCAGTGCCAAATATGAAATAGAATATCAGAAAATTTTATACAATTTCAAACATAATTTACTCCAATATCTGACTATCTAGAGACGAATTTTTTCAGAAATCTATTTTTCTTCATTCTTTATACATTTTTAAATATCATAAGGAGATAATTGTTTTGGCAATAAAAATATCCAATTTTGTTTCAATTTGATGAACTCAGACCATGCCATATCCACAGTGGAAAGGTCTACATTGACAAGAGCCCTTGCTACTGTACAGAGTGTTGGATTAACATGCGATAAACGGGCGACACGTTGCTCCACGTCACATGCTTTCTACAACACCAAGTTGGTTCATGCATTGATCAAGATGTTAAGACGAGACTACAGTAACTGCTAACTGAGCCAGCTAGGCCACATGCATTCTGACTGATATAGCAGCTCAGGGAGGGTTAATAGTAATGATAACAACCTCTTAATGTATTTTGAATTGGAATTTCCGCTTCTGCATGTGGCCCATATAAATGTGAAGGTCATGAGGTGAAGGTCATTTAAGGTCAAGAATATATGAAATTAAAGAAAAATAAATCTTAATCAGAGAAAGAGAACCAAGTCTGTTTTCTGGTGCTCGAGCAATCTCTATACGCAACAAAATTAAAAGTACATTTTTCAAAGAATAAAAAGACAAAAACAATACATATCAAACCTTCCAAATTTAACACAAAGATAAATGGTGCTCAACATAAATTAAACAAAAAGTATTAACAAAAGGATAAAATAAGCTCATAGCTCTGCTCTATAGTATACAGAAGCAAAATATGAAAAAGGCTTCTCATGTTGTAGCAATATGAATGGACATGTCAGGTCTTTTGCCAGTACAAGTTACAAATGAAATCTAAACAGCAGCCAATGACAAACGTGCTTTCAAACTGAATCAAGACACACTGTGCCAAAGCAGCAAGATCTATAAAAGCTGACTTCATCAAATGGTCTTATCTTGAAGTATAACGCCCTCTATAGGAGGATAAAACTTACGTTCATCCACAGTGACATCTTCCATACTTGTGCCACTCTTGTCTTTGCTCTTCATGAATGGGAACTTCTTGGTAAAGGAGAAATTCTTCTTCTTCTGTTTGTCTGCTGCTGTGCCACCAACAGCCTAATAGGACAGAGGGAAAGTTATTTTGAACTGTGAAACTCACTAGTGGGCCAGATTAGGTCTAAAGGGATGAGGTCTTAAAGATTAACAAAACAGTCTTAAACCGCACTGGCTCAGTTTTTAAGATAAAAAAAGATAAAAACTGATCTAAATCACAGTAAATCTATAACTAGACCGAGTTCCAATGTCACTATCATGCCTGTGTTTCTGTTTCTTGCCCAATGCAGTTTTGAAATGTGAAGTTGCTTACTATGTAATGTTATGGTGAATACATAAGGTTTGGTGGGTTTGTTCAGTGTTGCATTGGCTTGGAATTAAGTCAAATAAATATCAATGGTTAAAGTACTAGTGGTATTGTTTTGCATTTCAAATATTTTCTTCTGAGAAGCTTAGCAGACTAAATGCCATTTCACAAGGAGTTGAAGGAATAGGGGGGTGGATATACAGTTAGAAATTTCTTGAAAATACATCACACCAAACAATACTAGCAGTAGATTACCAACTGATATTTAATTGGTATTGACAAAGATGTGATGTGCACCAGTTCATTATCACCAGTCTCTGTCTACTTGGTCATCTTACCTTGGAGTCCACTCCCTTTCCCTTGAAGTCCACCCTCTTCACCTTGGCTCTCTCTTTCCTCTCAACTCTGGAAACATAGTCAAACCATTTACCACTGACAAAATTGTCTGGTCAGTTATTTCAGATACAAATGCAACAAGCAATGAGTTTTTTTTAATGTGAGTAAAATAATGGATGTTTCTTTACAACAATAATTATGTTATATAGTCAGATCATATTCAGAATCTGGACCAACTGATAAAACATTCTTTACATATTACCTGACATATCCACAGACCTAGAAGGATAAAGCCCCTTGTAAATTCTACTCTATCAAGATTAAATGGTTAATCATGCATTATAAATGATAAAATCAATATCGTAGAAAATGCTCTCCCACTTATTCCCACTGTTTATATTACCTTCTCCCACTATAAATTACTTTCCCATGAAAAATCCCCCTTATCTCCTGCTGGTATGATGCCCAGTCCCTCCCTACCTCCTCCTGCTGGGTATGATGCCCAGTCCCTCCCTACCTCCTCCTGCTGGGTATGATGCCCAGGCCCTCCCTACCTCCTCCTGCTGGGTATGATGCCCAGTCCCTCCCTACCTCCTCCTGCTGGGTATGATGCCCAGGCCCTCCCTACCTCCTCCTGCTGGGTATGATGCCCAGTCCCTCCCTACCTCCTCCTGCTGGGTATGATGCCCAGGCCCTCCCTACCTCCTCCTGCTGGGTATGATGCCCAGTCCCTCCCTACCTCCTCCTGCTGGGTATGATGCCCAGGCCCTCCCTACCTCCTCCTGCTGGGTATGATGCCCAGTCCCTCCCTACCTCCTCCTGCTGGGTATGATGCCCAGGCCCTCCCTACCTCCTCCTGCTGGGTATGATGCCCAGTCCCTCCCTACCTCCTCCTGCTGGGTATGATGCCCAGGCCCTCCCTACCTCCTCCTGCTGGGTATGATGCCCAGTCCCTCCCTACCTCCTCCTGCTGGGTATGATGCCCAGGCCCTCCCTACCTCCTCCTGCTGGGTATGATGCCCAGTCCCTCCCTACCTCCTCCTGCTGGGTATGATGCCCAGGCCCTCCCTACCTCCTCCTGCTGGGTATGATGCCCAGTCCCTCCCTACCTCCTCCTGCTGGGTATGATGCCCAGGCCCTCCCTACCTCCTCCTGCTGGGTATGATGCCCAGTCCCTCCCTACCTCCTCCTGCTGGGTATGATGCCCAGGCCCTCCCTACCTCCTCCTGCTGGGTATGATGCCCAGTCCCTCCCTACCTCCTCCTGCTGGGTATGATGCCCAGACCCTCCCTACCTTCTCCTGCTGGGTATGATGCCCAGTCCCTCCCTACCTTCTCCTGCTGGGTATGATGCCCAGTCCTTCCTCCTTCCCGTCTGGCAGGATCCTCTTGGCCTGCCACCACTCGTCATCGCTGGCATTGGTGACGTGGAGAATGTCTCCATACCTGAACTCCAGACCCTCCCGCGGCAGACCACTGTCCTTAGAAGGGTCGTAATCAAAGAGGGCCCTGGATGAAAAAATTAAGATAAAATCATTAATACTGCATATTTTTTAAAGCTGCATGTCTGAAAACAACCCTGTATTTTCACTGATCATTCAAAAGTGTTGTTCCTGGAGGAGCACAGTCAGCAAGAGGGTCCAAGGAGGAAGTTATCCAAGATAACTAGGATACCAATGACTGCTCTTCTTTTTAAGGTGGAAAATTTTATTTGCTGTAATGCTAAGCAGATCTTAGAAGTCTCCTTGAGTAAAGACATTGTACATGCAGTGAAGTGTGTGTGTGTGTGTGTGTGTGTGTGTGTGTGTGTGTGTGTGTGTGAAACAGCCCAATCCTGCAATAAAATCCATTGGCATTCCTACCTACTGCTAGCTAAATAGCAAGATAGACTCCTGGATATTTACAGAAATCATGGAATGTCCAGAAAGTGGTGGGTGGGTGGGGAAGCGTGTCTGTTTCCTGGTGTGGTAAGGCATATTTTTAGAATAACCAGTCATGGGTGGTCCAATTCTTACTGGACATCTTTAGTTCACTATATACCATATCACTACATAAACAGCACAGGGGAGAATTGCTCTGGGTTTATCTATATTCAAGGAGTTGTGTTTCACAATGAAACTTCACCATTGTTGGTATTAATAGATAGCTGCACTGCACTTAGGATATGACCTCTGTACTTTGAACTGCCTTCTTCTTTGTTTCTAATTTTTCCCCAAAAATGAAATGCTGAATGTTGTGATATACCTATCTGAGCATTCTACTAAATACCTTACAAAACTATTTCAAGGATGAAAGTTTTAGAAGTATCAACAAGTGGAAAACACTTGCTTACCTCACATAGAGTGTCCTCTTTTGTGTAGTTTTTAAACTGCTCTGACTTGTGTTCAACATCTGCTCACGAATTTCATGAATTTTGGCCTCAAATCTGTTATAATCTGAAAATAAGGGGAAAAGAAGATGCTTTAATTTCATGGTAATAATTTCGATATCTATCCTTTTATTCTCAAAACAACATTTTAATTGTATTTCTAAATTTTTCAGAATCCTATTTTGGGCTCAAATCAATAATTCTTTTTATTATTATTATTTGAAAGTCACTTTTTTATAGTTATACATAAAATATTAATTCAAACTTTTTTTTGAAAATTTTACTGCCACCTAGTCACAAAGTAAACTTTAGTGAGTGTTTGAAAATGATAAAGCCTTAGAAAAGAACAATATTTCAGAAAGAGAAAGTTTTAAGTATGAAGGAAAAAATGAGCAAACGCCCCCCAATGCAGTCACTCATTTCCCCACCTTCCGGTTTATACTGTGCGACAATTTCCACTGTGTCCCCAGCATGCTTTAGTGCGGCTGCTGCCTGCTCATGTGTGGCGTCCCTCAAGTCAACACCATTAACCTGAAGATAATCACAAATATCATACTAAACTTCATCATACTTCTGCAAAACTATTACATTTGGAGATAAATAGTTTGAATAACCACAAAAATTAAATTATAATTTATATATAATAACTATTGCAATAATAAAAAGAAATCTGTTGCTACATTAGATATGTATGAGTAGAAGATATATTTTTTGGGGAAAATGTTACATGGTGTTAAGAAAAGTGGCACTAAATAAAGAAAACTTCATTTTAATATAAATATTTATTTTTCTCTTTATAACTAGTGGTTAACTGGTGTAGTACGCCAGTCCCTGCAATATGGCCACCTTGCCATTCAACTCTGGAATCATCTGACCACAAAATGATTAACAACCAGCAAATCGCATCTACTTTAGCTGAATGGCAGATAATACCAGCATAGCCTGACCCTCACAACACAGAGAGAAAATGCTCAGAAACGAGGGCATTCCTATCTCTCCAACACATGTTGATTTTCCGACCTTAATTCTCGTTCCCATGGTGACTAGGATGCTCATTAGAGACTCCATGCAGAAAATGGTGATAATTTCTTTGTTATTTTCTAAGAATTTTCTCCAGGCAAGTACTTATCACCAGCTTACATTTTCGTTTCAAAAACGCTTCTATTTTCTTCAGCTATTATGACTCAGTGTGGATTGAATTGAATTCTTTTCAACTGTGAAATACATGCCTGTGAGCGCAAAGATAACAGGGGACTTGTTTATTGAGTAAGCTAAATTAAATGATAATGATGGTACTTTTCTCCTGGAATATACATAATATGGCTCTTAAAAAAAAGAGATTTCAGTATTTCATTTCAGAATATTTCAGGTGAATGACTCGAGAGAGAGGGAGAGGGAGACAGACCATTTGCCTTAATATTAGACAATAGACCATCAAGCTGAAAAAGAATCTTATGAAGAAAGCATATAGTTGAACAGGCTGCAATTGGCATTGTTGCCTTGCAATAAATAAATACTATGAAAAGGCACAAGCCAATTTTTGGAGTCCTCAGAAATGTGGTCCAAGCGGAGTAAATGAGTATGTTATTTCCAATATGCATACAAATGCAAGTTTTGAGCACGAGATAATTACCTCGTTACTTCAGAGGATTCACATCAACCACCAAACTAATATAAGACTATGACTAAAAAATATCCTAATAGTACAACCATATTACCTCAATCCCAAGCCATTCACACACCCTTCAAGCTCCCATGCACCAAGGACATCCAACTCTTTTCTCTACTCTGGTGCTTTTGAGAGATACCCACATAAAGCCAGCTAAATGGCAACGCAATTCAATTTCCTTTCCCCTGGACACCATTAAAACCCAGCAACCAGGCGCAGACTACAACTGAAATGATGTTCTCCGATCCTATCAACACTTCGGACATGTAGTAACAGGTTATGTACCATCTGGTCAGTCTTGTTCTCTAATTTCCTCCAGGAATATCTGCTCACTTCACTGTGGCACACTTGCACATGTATAGATAATAAAGGTATCACTGATCCAGCTGAGAGATATCACTGAGAAACTTAACTCTGGCCAAATTCCAATAGGATCCAGTGATTTATTTTAAAACCAGATCATAAAAACAAATCCAAAAGCTTGTACACAAAATCTACAAGACAAATTGTGTTTATATCGCATCAAATAGTGAGCTTCTGTGAGTTGCTTGAAATTTACATCCCCTAAACAGTAATATTGGACAATGTGAAATGCCATAATCTATGATCATAATTTGTTACCATGCCTTGCATTGTGATGAACAAATGATATTCAGTTTTAGCCTCCTATTTGCATCAGTCAACAAAGAACATGTTAAAATATTTTTTAACATGAGGGCTATAATTCACATAATCTATTTCAATTAATACACCTTACTTACATCAATATTCAGACCAGGCTATCTTCATCAGGAGAAAACAAAACCATATCCCAGTGTGCTGTATTTCTCAGTAAATTGTTATCATCCACATCACCCTCCACATAATTTGTAATAGACACACCAAATATCCAATTATTTAGCCTCAATCTATGTGTTCTCTCCTAGCTGTGGTCTATATCCTAACAATATACTCACATCCAATGTCAGCTTGTACTGATGTCCTCTGTGGAATACCTAGACAGTAATATTGTCTCTGCTGTAACATTAGCTAATAACTCTACCACCTTCAGCAAATACAGCAAATGACAATATCAGCAGCTCTTCTCACAGTAACATAATCACATTCCTTCAAAATATAAAATTCTTTCAAGTCACTTCCTTGTCTGTTGCTGAAATTGTGATTATGATTCTATCAGGAAACCAAGTGGATGTATAACCAGAGGGTCAGAAAAAAAATTCAGGATATCCTACAACATTGTCTACCCCAACCCTCTTGATATTGAAGTCTTCTGGCTTTGGCTCACATACACAGGAGTTGGAAGCCCCTCCATATTGCCACTGAGCTAAAAGAGAATACAGCTGATCAGAATTTCCAATGATCAACACTGTAGTAAAGCAGACAGTCGTTGCTCAATCTCTGCAGCTTACGTACACGATCTTTAAATCACTGCCCGTAGTAAATATGCTGCTCCGGCTGTGGTGAATGTTCAGCCAATAATCCTCTCTCTCTCTCTCACGGAGGACATTCCCCAACACATCAGCTCTGCTCCGACTTCAGCTGCAATACGCATATCTACCAAACTCAGACGTTGAGAAGCACAATAAAATATCCCTGATTATCCTTCCTTTTTTTCCATCCCTACAAGAAATCCATACCAATCCCAGTATTTCCTGTGTATCAATCAGCATCAAGGTCATATTGGAGAGGATCTTAGCCCAGATCTCCAATGCCTCTTCTAACAGGCTGGAGTAACATAGCAGGCTGAATTGATTGACCCTTGCCTACTAGTGTGTCAGTCTTCACAGCTCTGTTGGACAGGATTCTAATTTCTCGTCAGGGATGTGTGTGTGTGCAGGCACACGTGTACATGTGTGTATGTATTCATGTGTGTGTGTGTGTGTGTGTGTGTGTGTGGAGAGAGAGAGAGAGAGAGAGAAGGAAGGAGGAAATAAACTGAGGAAGAGGAGGGGGAGAGGCAGGGCAGAAACTGTTTTTCCTCAATATTAGACAATCAACCATCATGCTGATGAAGAGTGCTGTCCCCATCCTAATCAGAATCCAGAGGTACAAGGCCTAAAATGGTCTTAGAAAGCAGATAGTTGTGCCTTGCCACAGGTAACAAAAACCATGAAAAAGCACAGGCCAATTTTTTTTCTTTTTTTTTTTTTTTTTAAATGAAGTCTAATCTGAGTGACTCGGTACATATTTCCGGGTATCACACAAGTGCAAGTTTGAAGCAAGAAGTAAGTACCTCATTCTTTCAGAGCACTGATATCAACCAACAAAACTCATTAGGCAGGAAATATGTGTATTAAAGAAAGGAAAATCTTCTCATCTTTCCTCTGTTGTTCTCGGATGCCTCAGAACCAGAGACAATACATCTAAGTGAACACAGCCATTGCTGTCTTCCCATGTGGTGAACAGAAATTAATGTGATGTTTCCACGGCAACCAAGCTAGCGATCAATACAAAGCCAGTTAATGTGCTTACTCTGTCTTCTGCTGCAATAGATCAGATCACTAGCTATAGAAATATCTGGAAGACATCTCTCTTCCTCGTTCACAAAAAATAACAGAAAACTCCTCTTAATTCAGCTAAAAACCCAACTTCATTCATTTGTTTGTCTATTTACATTTGGACATAAAACTACAGGGTGACACCAGAAATCAAAACACCTCCAAAATGATTTCACCTTATGCCATGTGAGACACAATAGCTGAACTCTGGAGGAGAACTCCATTTCAATGGAGAATTAGTTTGCGAAACACATACAGAAACTGGAGAGTTCAGTGGGTCTACTGTCTTCCCCCGTCTCTGGTACTTACAGAAATGAGCTGGTCGCCTCTCTTGAGCTCTCCGCTGAGGTCTGCAGGTCCTCCCGCCAGGATGAACGACACGTAGATCCCCTCGCCATCTTCTCCGCCCACGATGTTGAAACCCAGGCCAGACGATCCTTTCTTTAGGGTCACCTTCCTCGGCTCTCTGAAGTTAGAAAAAAATAACAGTTTATCCCATGGTGTTAACTTTTTCTTTCCCAAACATTTGCTGTCAGTGTACAACAGTTTGATACCGTACATAAATTAATAAGGTCAATTTTCCACATGATTTTCTTTTTTTCTTGTACTTCTTTCTTCTGATTTATTCCCAAGTATATACAGAGAACAAATGTGTTAGTTGAGAACACATTGCATTCCAGTTGTGCCTCACCTTCTTGGCATAACAACATCCCTATATATTGAAACTTCAATATGAGGCAAGTTTCAATTTAACTCTGGCGTTCAGTGTGAAAACTAGAATTCTGAGAGGAAAAACATGTCATTTTGCTGGCCAAAAAAAGCCTTCGGCTTACTGTTCAAACATAACTATAAACTGTGCCCAATACACAATACAGAAGTCACTGAAACATTCCCACCATTCATAATTCAAGGACAATCATACCCTAACAAACTACTTGCAAAGGGGCCAAACTAATTACTCCCCAGGTAAATTTTACTTCTGGCTTTTTTATACTACTTAATGTGCACTGCACAATGTCATTATTTTTTCAGTGTCATAGCTTTTAACTTTCTCAGTCAATGGTCCTGAAAAGAGTCATGTTTACTTTTAATAACTTGTTGACATCTGTGTAACCCCTGGGGGGAGAAAGCTGTACATGTGTATGTAAACCACAAACATGCAAACAGTGCCATATACGACTGCTGTAGAAACTGTGGGATTAATGTACAACTAGAGCATATACACAGACAATGCAGGGGTGAATACAAATACAATCAATCCACTATTACAAAGTCCCTGCTCCAAATACCAAGAGATGAGATGTATAAGTCTAAGTCTAGATGCAGACTTAGGGACCATTCTCAAATCCTATCGCAATAACTGTCTGTCTAAAGCTGCTACGGGGTAATTAGTTATTGTTTAGCAGCTTCAGTACGTACGCCAGACATCAAAGACCCCATTTCCAGAGATTAGATCGATCTACTTTAGATCGACCTAACTCCCTGGGGGTTCACGCTAAATAGCTGTCAGCCGGGCGGACACGAAAGTTAATTACCCCCTTACAGCTTGTAGTAGGCGGGACGGACATTTAAGCCAGATTATCTGACAGTAATCTAGTGAGACTCCCCGCAGGGATAGATCGATCTAAAATCTCTGGGAATAGAGCCTAAGCCACTTCAGCTGAAAGTGAGAAACCCCTTGGAGCTGGATCGATTCTGTTAGATCCATTTAGGTATGGGAACCCAGTTTTAAACACCAGCTTCGTTCCTTTTTATGTTTCACCATATTGCTTGTGAAGTAACAATTTCTCCTTTATTCTTAATGCTGTGCAAGAGCAAAAACACCAGCAACATGTCTACAGGGCTGGTCCAGAATTAGCAGGAAAGAATTGCATAAACACTGCACAACTAATATGATCTCTAGTGTCTGACAGCTCATAAACTCCCTCCAGAGATCTCTCCATTATACATTCATTAAAATATATTGATTTTTGTCTCAGAACCTTCATTGCTCATCCTGAATTACCCAACTTTTCACAGGGTTACATATCTGACGCAACTTAATCAATGCAGTTGCATAAAAACACTCAGGAAATATTCATCATAAAACCTGTTCAATCAATACCAAATTGTTTTGCATAAATGCCATATACATCAAGCGGTAACTTTTCAGACTTTCCTGGACCCCTGGAACTCGGACCAAATCGGTTCTTGTTCCCAATGACAGAAACAGTACATTTTCCCAAAATGTAGCAAGTGCTTACACATCTAGAAACAAGTGCAATATTCTTTCTTTTACAACCCTTGATTTCCTTTGAGTTATAGTATTATAAAATGTTCATTTTTGATGTTACAGTTAAGGCAGGCCCGTAGCCAGGGGGGTTCAGGGGGTTCGAAAGCACCACCCCTTTTGCTGGGAAAAAGTCCACTCTGGGTAAAATTTGATTTAGGTACATGAAATTTTTATGGGAAAAGGTCCACTTTTTCAGAAAAAGAACCCCCCCCCCCTTTGAAATTGCTGACTACGGGCCTGTAAGGTCAACCTTTCTTCTATAAAATGTGGGGGGTTGAAAGAGAGGGGGGCTAGGAGGAAGGGAGAGGATACAGAGTGGTTTCCACAGTATATCAGCATTCTAAAAGATAAAGCTAAAAGTGGAGTGTTGACTTAGTTTGAAATTACAAATCTGCACTCAATGAAGCAGTTTATCAGCAAACATTCCTGGGCTGACCACCAGATCACAGATCACTCCACTGTGGGGCTATCTCTGTGGTACAGGACGCCTCAAGTATGCACAGTGAGGCAGTTTAGAAAGTCAGCTCACATAAATGATACTTAACATAGAATTAAGATAAAGTGCTTACATCACAAACAGAATCAGCATGTTTAATCTGAAAACTAATGTCTGTAAAAGCAGCCTCCCTTACCAAATGAAGTCAACCAAATAACATCCAATCCAGTCTTGAGATAAATATGACTTTGCTATCAACAAGACCAAATCTATCTTAATGAGAAGTATTAAAACAACAATTCAAATCACCGATTACAAGCTGTATCAAAACATATGAACATTTAATCTGGATTCACATATCTTGAACAAATTACCACTAGGGGGAGGTAATCCTCTACCAAGATAGACCACAAACTGAGCTGCTGGGGTTCACAATGAAATGCACAATCTCAAAGTGAAGAGTTAAGTCAATGTTGGGAAGTGCCTTGGCAAACAGATCAGGCTCCCCCCACTACACCTGTAATCCAAGGAGAACACAACTTTGACACGCCACGCCTGCACGTATATTGATAACTGCTATTTTTCAGAAATCTCAGCCACTTTCTTCACATAAATGTTTTGTTTCTTCTGCTACTCTACATTTTCTATAATGAATTTTTTTTTTCACTTGGGAACAGAATTTAAAGAATCTGGCATTTCAGATAAATATTTCCAGATAAATAAAGAACTGAAGAAAAATCAATCAATAAAGAATAATCAATTTTGTTAAATTATTGTTGGATCCCAATACCAGCAGGCATTCAAGTTGTTGAAACAGATGGAAACATAATCTCTACCTCATAAAATATCTGTCACCCATTTCTAGGACTATAAAATATGTGAACACAAGTCCTAGACATCCACACACTGCAGGGAGTACTGGTACATTTCTGGCACATATATTTCAAAAGAGAACGAACAAGTTTGTCACAAAGGTGAATTTTCATCGATCCCTTCATCCCAATCACTGTTTCCTCAATCTCCGCAAACAATTCCAAATAACAGCGGATTAGGTTCCCAGTGTCAATATTTGCTGAGAGTGTTAGCCAATTAAGGCTTCATTCAAGTTATGTCTGGAGGATGTTATCCTTAAAATAGATATAATCAAATTGAGTCGGATCAGCTCCAGTGTGTACACACCTGTTGGCATACACATTGACAGGTGATTGGCTGTTACGTATAAAGGCGCATTTATACTTAACTTGTGAGAGTTAAGCTTAGAGAAGACATATCCTCGTGCTCGTACCCACACAGACAAAATATTGCCTTTTCAAGACAAGAGTCTCATTCTCAAAGAAATCATCACTCTACATACTTAAATTCAACTCTGCAGGAAGTCTTGCTGAATACAGTCAGACTCATGTACCTCCTCTTCTTTCCAATATACTCTTATAATCAGTTTTTCTGTATTCTACACAATCTTAGGAGGAGACATGTTAATCTGATTGCATTCAGCGAGAGTCCCCGCTGATCAATTAACACAGAACGATACATTCATTTGGAATGGACCCATAGAACTATAATCAACACACCCCCCCTCTTCATTCATAAATTACTCATTCTTTAAATTTATCTGTTTTATCCAAATGGAAGTCTAAAAACTACAGTTTGAACTGATTGCCTCTACAAAGTCAATACACAGACTATGATTTAACCTATGCAAAAAAGTGCAATAGCATTAAATTATTGCAACTAGAGATGTTTTTGGTAGACATCAAGAACAGTCACATTTCATTTCCCGTTCCCAATGGTTGCTTTAGAGATCCTTCTTTATGTGACTATAAAAATGCCTGAAATGTTTATCACAAAGATCTACAGCAAAAATGCCCTTGAATTCTGGCTAGCAACTTTTTATTTACCCTAGGTAGTTTTACCCCCTTCTTTCTTTCTTTCTTTTTTGTCTTGAAAAAAATTCAACATTCTGCAAGACTGCCTTATCTTTATTATAAACATTTTCTTCCATTTCAATAAAATGGTCTTTAACTCTCCATTTAGTTTTAACTTATCAGATTTCCTTTTCAGGACCCTTATCTTAACTATTTCAAAGAAAATTACTCCTATTTGCATAGCCTCACTATAATAATCATTATAACCTACTTAATCTGAAGGAGAAAATTAACACTCGCTTCGCCAGCAATTTCATGGGGGACAGCACTGTGGTATTTTCTACATAAATCCTTAAAGAACTAAATCCCTTACATAATGTATCATTTTGACAACCATGGGAGATATTGATATTATTGTACAATATCTACCTACTATGATATGTATTTATCCCTAAATGCTGTATTGACACTTTGCTCCACCTTAAAAATTAATCAACATAATTATATAACAGAATATACTTTCAACTTATCAAATTTTCAAATTTCTCTTGCCCATATATCCTCAGCTGATGTTTTCACTTGCTTTGTATTATTAGGTGAGAACAGTTTTCTTTTGAGGACAACAGCTCAATTTTTTTGACATGTTAAGAGTGAAAAATGAAAAAACCTACCACTAAATACCCCCAAAATATTCCCACCTCTACAAGCCAGTGCACAATGTTATGGCAATATTTACCTGTTAAAATACTGATAGTCGTACAGGTCCTTCCTTGGTTTACGATACATACTGCCTTGGTCCTGTTTTGGAGGCTTCATTGGGGATATGTTTACAAATATCCTTCAAGTTTTCAGCGTGTCTCTCTTTCAACTGTGAGACTTTCAAATGAAGTGGT